GCCATAAACACGCCTAACAGATGATTTGCAAACGGCTGCGGGCACGAAGCGCGGCGGCGAGCGTCATCCGGGGGTAATTTCTCACGCTCGCTCTCCGACGTGCTTGTCAATAGTTTGGCAGAAAGCAGAATTAAAGAGTCGTCAAAGCGCATCGGCTACGTCTAAGCTGCCGGCGTGACACGGTGATGGAAGAAGAAGAAGCGTGGGAGGAAGCCGGCGCCGACGTTTGGCCAGTTCCTCGTGGCGTTTGATTTCTCAAAGTAAATCGCTCAGGCTCCCGTCAGCGTGTCGGGAGGTCGCCATCGTGCTTTCTTTCTAACAAAGGTAACGGTCATTTGTGCAGAATGGATTCACATTTAACCCTAAAGAGGAGTAGTGTGTTATTCTCACAGGTTTTTGAAATACTGAGAAATCTAAAACGATATACAGAGTAACAATTTTCCCCTTTGTCTTGTCATAGTTCTCATTTAAATGTGACAAATAGAAAATGTCGATGGCACATCTACACGGCATCGAGGGCAGGAAGTCACATCTGCTACTCCCAAAGGAAGTCAATCACTTTTAATGACCTGATCCTTCAACTTCCTCACTATATATCATAGGTATGATTGATGTCTGCTGTACATCATTTTTATTTAGTTGACCGTGGGTCACGTGTGGAACGCTGTGAAGGGACATGGTGGGCAAGCTGATGGTGCACAACGGCCACTACGAGGGTTCAGCAGGAGATGAGAAAATATCTCTGGCATGTCGACAGCCCAGAGACAGACGCTCAGGTAGCGAGAAACCGTTTACGGATCTGATCTCCATATAACATCTCAGTATCCTTCATAGCAGGTTTGTGTGTGCCTCATGTTCGCAGTTGTTTCCATGGTGCATAAATGACTTTTTACCCAGTAAGAAGGAAGCATTTTCCAACGCGATTAGTGTTTCTGTACAATAAGACAATGGTTACTGTGAGATTTCTTTTAGTAAATGCGTCAAAAATTTCGACAAAATTGTTGTAAGTGTGTAGCTATAAAGTCTCCAATTTTGTCTTTGCCCTCAATGCAGGAACCGCTCTTTAAAAAGAGAAGCCATGATGTGTGAAATTCAACATCTCTGTTGTTGGGGAGAAGTTTTACACAAACGTCTCCCACCTCTGCGTCGTTTCCCCCCAGATTTGAGACACTGAACTGGGGTAAAAAAGAGCTAATAAAACTTTGTCACCTTGGCAACAACCTTCCTGTACGCCCCTTGTTCAAAGATGTCACTCAACTGGTTACATTCCCAAGTGCATAAAACCCCCCAGAGCTTAAACTGGTTTCATCAGCCGCGTAGCTGCAGCCAATAAAGGTTTCTGGATTTAAACGATTGGTGAAATATGAGAGAATGTTTGATGCCCCAAAGGATTCTCAGTTGTTTTTTTTGAATGTTTGCTGAAAGTCTGTAGAATAAAAAATAGTGTAATATACTTTTTAAACTATATTAGCACCATTTCAGGCTTGATAGAGCGATCACGTAGAGCGGGGTCGTCAGACAGCCTCAGACGTTCTGTCCGCGTTACGCAGTTACTTTAACAACAAACCGCTCCAATGTTTCCATTTTAAATCGAAAAGATAACCTTATTTTTGGAATCCTGGAGTCTTGAATTGAGTTTGTAAATATCATAAATGCTCTCCTCATTAGTTGGCTGGGCGTGTGCAGAGCTCGGATAACGTTAGTGATTTATCATTGATTTGAAATGATAAATACTTTTTAATGTGTCACATGTTGTTGTGCACTTTCTGACACAGCGTTTATTTTTGTATTTTTACCGGCGGTATAAAACGATAGAGCAGTAAAATAAAATAACCCTTAAATAATTTGCATCACATCGCCGTATCTTAGATGTATAACTGTTTGCACTGTGCTTACCAAATGGGATATCCATGGATACCTGGGGCTTAACTCACAGAGCAAAACAATTATGCATCAATGAAATCATTTTTGCCACATAGAAACACACGTGTGTGCTGTGCAGTGCCTAAAAGGCCTCTCGTGCCTCCGTGGAAGGAAAAACCCCTCGATCAAAGGGTCGCATGAACTAGTGCAAATATTAGCTGATATTTACTCGCGGCCATTAAAAGCTGGTGTTTTATTGCAGCGACGGAGTCGACCGAGTGCGTCTCATTGAAGTGACATATTGAAATGCTTCTCTCTCCGACTCGGCCCACTTACACGCTCATCAGCAGGACCTACACACACTCTCAGCCCCCTCGACTGGTCCTCTGCAAAAAGAAAAAAAGGGAGGTGCTGCTATGAAGATGGATTATCCAGCTGGTGACACTGGTTCCCCCTTCTGCTGCCGAGGCCGCAGCAAAGTGCTAACGCAATTAAAGCAATTAATCTTCAACAAAAGGGGTTTGCAGCTACTTGTGGTGACCTCACACCTCTCCGTACAGGTGCAGAACTAATCAGACCTGCTCAGACATGCGAGCGTACACAGACCGCACGTGTGTGCAAAACACAATCCTTTTATCTGCGCCGAAAACAAAACCAAATTATAACCATAATTATCGAGCAAGCAAAGCGGCACATATTATCACACAGTGCATGTGTGATAATCATATTGAACCGGCTGTTTGCTGTACTAATGAAGTGATATATGAACACGTGGACCAGCTCTCACTAACGAAATGTTTAAAAGGGCAAACGCTCTTCTGAATGACGGCGTAACAGACGCTGGACATTTTCAGATTGTCAGAATGTCAGATGTGAGAAAATGGAGGCGGTAAGAAAAACAGAAAAAGGGATTTGTGATCAGCCCATTTCAAAAATGCTCGTTTTCAAGCTCTGCAAAGAGTAATTTCACTTCCGAGCTGGCACCATAAACCGGCATCATGGCAAAGAACGTACTGTAATACAGCTGGGGATGTTGAATCTTAATTTCAAATCTGCTTTGTTCCTATTTTTGGAACATGCAGCACAGGTGGTTCAAGCCAAATATAATTTCATCATTTGGAAACATATTTGCGGTTTATTAAATGTAGGAAAAACTGCAATAATGTTTCAGCTTAACACAAGAGAAAGAGGTACGTGATGTTCTGGGTCATCTGATAACCCAACTACCCGAAGACCTTTGAGCAGCCGTGACTGTGCTGTGTGTCAACTCTGCATGAAATATCCTGTTTTGATGAATCTTTTTAACATTTCCTTTACATGCGCGTCGGCCCTGTTCAAGTCTTAGTGGAAATATACTCCCCTTAACTTCAGGGGAAATTCATTTATTGACGTTTTTCTAAAAAAGAATGAATAAATTAGCATAAATTGAGGCTTTACAAGAATTTGCCTGAGACAAACTCCAGTCAGGTTCAGTCACAAAGACAAAGGCAGTTTGTCCATTAACGAGGAAATCTATTCAAATCTGATATTGAAAACTTGTTGCAAATATCACAAATTTGCATCACTGCTGGAATTAATAGTTCTGATTTAATATTTGTCGGTCTCGTGTTGGATATCTGTGACACCCGTTGCTCAAAGGCGTAAAACTTTAACAATTATAACGGTAATAATTATTTTAGAGTACTTCATTAATCAAAATATGAATTCATTATTTATCGCAGCAGTTGGTCATTATGTGATTTATACGCCAGAGACAACAAGCAGCAACAACAAGCATCACAAAGCTCCTATTTAACATCGGGACAGACAATTCCACTTCACGATTCATCACTTCACGATAACGTCACCACAAAGACAAATATGAAATCAATCCTCGCCACGAGGTCCAGGCAGCACGATGGAAACGCTCCAGCTGGAGATGCTGGCGCGTGTGACGGAGGTGCAGCAGGGCGAGTGAAGGGCACCAGCGGCGAAACCACTATGCAAATTCAGCGCCACTTTGTTTGACAAGCAACAACAGCGCTTGGTATATATGCAAAGGCTGGCAGGACACTGTGCACACACAGCCCCGCTGTCAGGCACAGTCATGCTAGAGCGCTGACACACGCGATGGATGACCCCCTGCCCGCCACGCGGCTACGTGGCCAGACCTCGCACTTCATCGGGACGGCCGCGCGCACAAACACTAGCCCAAACACGGGTCCTGCGCAGCGCGCGACACGCGCCTCGGGGGTCAAATGTGTCGGGACGCTCGGACGGCCCCTCAGTTCCACTAAAACACAAGGTGGCAAAAGTTGGTTGATGGGACTATTGGATCCCCGCCGAGGTGAAAAGCACTTTGGCTCTTTGAATTTACACAGCAGCCGGTCCGTTTTGAAGAGCTGGAGATGAAACACTTCAAACCCCACGAAGCATTACTCATTTAGTCTTCATGCTGCTTTTTCTCCGAGCTGTCGCCTCCACATCTGAGGACGGCATCCAAATCTCTCCCCGTACATGCAGTAATAAAATATGCTGCAGGGACTGGAGGCTTCTGGTGTAACATTGATTTGGATATTTCTGCCATGATATGGAAGTAGAGCGGTCGATTTCTTCCCTATAAGGCCTTTTATTTATTTAAGTATTTATGGGGCATTTGTTTTTGATAGGTGGCAGGAAAGGAAAAGCACTGAGCTCTACTCAAACACGGGATGTTTCTAATGCAAAAACAGCATAATAACCTCCAAACAACCAGGCACCCGGATGGATGCGTTTTGTCACCGCTTGGTAAGAGTCTCTGATTCTCTAGAAGCCCTTTTCTCTCACTTTTACACGTGGCTGCTTCTGTGTTTACAGAAAATGTCCAATTTCCACTTTTCACTCAATATCGTCAAACTTGAAAAGCAACGTTGTTGTTTAATGGTGACGTGGCCTCACAGCGCACACGTACAAAGCTCTCCAGGGAAACCCGGGCTCTCATACATAGTCAGCCAAAGCCAGTGTTTTGTTTTGGATAACGACAATGGAATAAAAGCCAGGAACGCCGGTTGGAGTCGGAGATCCACCTCTCTGGCAGACGCGGCGTGAAATGACATTTTTAGGTCTGTTGCCATTAATGCGGCCGTTGAAAGCGGCAAATGCACCAATGCTTGTGTTACCTGTTGCTTTCTTGGAGCGCCTCGCTGCCCTTCCTCCAGGAGATCACGCCCCACGGGGACATCTTGGGCTTGCACTCGATGAGCACATCTCCTCCGACCCTCACCAGCGTCTGGCTCCTCAGTTGGTTGTGAGAGAAATCTGGAGCAACGGCTGAGAAAAAGCGGGTGTTCGTAAATGCATCACATCACGATGTATAATTCCTCTCAAATGACGTGGAATTATTGCCCTGGGTTACTGTGTGTTACATGTCCCCATGTTTTGTTCTGCCCCTTTAACTGTGTGAGTGGGGGAAGAGTGCTTTCTCGTACACATGGCGTCCATTGTAGTCTGTCCATCCTCTGACGTTCTCACTAAGGTTTCTTCCCCAAAGTGTTTTTTGGGGAGTGTTTCCTTTGCCGATGGAGGCTTTCGGGACAGAGGATGTCGTATGTGTACAGACTGTAAAGCCCTAGGAGGCAAATTAGTACTTTTGGGCTCAACAAAATAAAATGAATTGAATTGAACTTCAAACATTATTTCCCTTTTGAAAAAGTTTGATATTGTCTTTGAGGCATCTTTCTTTCCTTAATTCTCCACCTACGGTTGGACCACTAGTCTTGGCTGCTCGGAGCCTAAATCCTCTCAGCGTCGGGACCAGCATGAGGAAGAACGCTGCTCGCTCAGAGTGGGACGGACCCGACGGGCTGGCGGACGGAGCAGCGCCGGCGTACATCACTGTCAGCCGGACGCTTTCCTCTTATAATTAATGCTTTTCAATTAGTAGCCAATGAGCCAGAGGGGTTGTAGGTCATCGAGCGGAGGAGGAGAGCGGAGCCAACTCGAGGACAAATGCGGTCGAATGTATGCTCGCGCACGATGTCAGCGTGCGCAGAGACGACCTCGCTGGTCTTCTCATGAATTATCGGAAGCGCCGCTGCCTGAACGGCAATAACAGAAGCAGCCGACAATTTTGCGAACAAATGTAGACTGAAGTCAAACATTTGAAATCACGTTGTTCCATCCATGGAAACGTTGCTCACAGATTGAGTCACAAAACATTCACACTTTGAGTGCAAAAGGAGCCGGCGCGTCTAATGTAGCATCTGAACCAAACATGCTCACCAATTAACATTATTGGCAAGTTGCGAATGAGAAGTAAGTGTCAGTGAGTGACGTGACTTCCAACAAGACAACATAACTTGTATAGTATGTTTAATGTGCTGCACTATTATACAAAAAGTATTGTTTGAAAATGAAAACGCTTGCTTGATAAAACCCCGTCAGATTGCAATGTTAGCAGTTTTGGGTTTCTCTGGTTTTTAATTCCCAGCCAATGAATCATTTTACAATCGACAACACATGATTTTCTAGGGGATTTAGCTTGTTTTCTCTTATATTCCTTGTGTTGAATACAGCGTTAAGCTCATTTCTGTGGTCGTTCTGTGGCGTATGCAGTAAAAGAAATATGCAGAACTTTTCCATTTGGCCACAGAGCAAGAAAACTAACGTTTCCTTTGGCTCCGCCTCCCATCCATCACTCTGCCAATTGTCTTGTTCACGTGAACGAAATAATTCTGCATTCAACTAGTGAATTATTCACGTGTTCATAGACGATGATTTATTTGAATGTTTGTATGCAGATGAACAGATATTTTCGGGCCTCATTAGTGGAATCACCGGACGGACCTTGATGCTGTAGTTCCACCGGTTGGCCACTAGGCTCCTGGGACGAACAGGACAAACGCTGAAGCCTCACCTATAATCCGGAGCTCCGCGTTGGAGTAGACCTCGCCGTGCTTATTCCCGGCCACGCACTGGTACATGCCGGCGTCGGACAGGGTCAGGCGGCTGATGGACAGGGCGCCGTCGGCCACCTGTACGCGCTCCTGCGGACGTAGAGACACACGACTTTAATACACCTATTCCTGGCACTCCTCGATATGAAAGCAGCCAGCCAGTGTGGCCAGTGAATTATGGTCTGGAAGTGACAGACGTGGCAATAAATCAGGGTTTTCATCACTAATGGAGGGAAAGGCTTGGGTGGATGGAGGCAGGCTAGCAGAAAATGACCCTAATCAATCTGCATGTTTATGAGAGGGAAATAAAACCGTGCCCTATTTATATCTGCAACTGCACCACAGGGCCTGTTTCCCCTTCAGCAGGTGGAGGGTGGGCGGTTGGAAGAGGGGTGTACACTCGCCTCCTGAGGATATATAGATTGTGGGAAATTGTTTTTCTTGAA